TGTTGTCGCACTGCTGATGACGTCAGCGACGCGCTTTAATCGGGCGCGCTTTAGTGGACCGCGGTTTTGTCGTGCCACGACAGGACACAGTGGTAGAAGTATCCCACCAGCCTCCTACAATAACAATAATCTGCTTAAGCATTTTTTTTTAAAGAAAAAACAAACCTGAAATGAGCGCCTGGGAATTCCTCATGGGAAAGGATCCCGACAAGCCAAAGATGCTACTGATGAAGATGGTGGCAGCACTGCTGATGACGGCCACGCAGACAACGGTGATGATAAAAAACCACAGTGTCCATGCAGAAGTGTCCACTTTGACCAGCACTGTAATCACCAGAAAGGTAGCCAGCATGACAGCCAAAGAGGAGAGAATACGGACGTTGACAGAAACCCTGGAAAAGAAACAAATAAGTTGGTGAATGGTCTCTTAACAAGCATCCCCTGAGATCAGTGGTGAAATTCTAAAATTTTCCATACTGGTTCTGTGGCTGTAGCTTGGTGGGCATGGCTTGGTGGTCATGTGACTGGGTGGGTGTGGCTTGGTGGTCATGTGACCGGGCGGGCAACAAGTAGGAACCTCACAGAGAGCTCAAAAACAAACTATCACACTTTACACAAAAATAACACAAAAGCTACACGACTGACTCACACACAGTGCAAAAGCAGCTGGATTTCACACAAAATGCACCCTGCAACAAGCAGGAACCTCACAGAGTCACAGAGAGCTCAAAAATAAGCTATCACACTTTACACAAAAATAACGCAAAAGCTACACAATCGACTCGCATACAATGCAAAAGCAGCTGGACTTCACAGACAAAAAAAGGTTCCTAGATTGCGCAGCACAGCTGATTGTCACAGTTGATCATTGGAACCTTTTTAAAAACTATTTGTAAGCATTTTTTTTACTAGGTAGTTTTAAAAGTTTTTTAAAAAGTTCTGATGATCAGCTGTGCAACCATCAGCGGTGCCGCACAATCATCGGAACTTTTTTAAAAAAAGTGTTAAAGCATTTTTTTTACTACCGGTTTGTCCAAACCGGTCCAAACCGGTAGTATTTTTACTACCAGTTCGGGCAAACTGGCCCAAACTGGTAGCATTTCACACCTGCCTAAGATTCTCCCCAGTCCTGAGATTACATTTACACTTCAGCAAAAGATCCTTTGCTTTGAAATGGCCAGGAGAGAAATTAATGGATATGCACCGATGTTAAAGAATTGCAGCATTGTAGCCGAATAAGTGGCAAGCAGTTCTGACAAAGAAGCCCAACCAAAAATTACTTGGTTCCGGTTCTGTTATCCAGTCAGAACATGTCTTTTTTCACTGAGGGCTTCTGTGCTATTCAGAAGCTTACAGAAGCATTAAATTTTTAATTTTGTTACCCTGGGAAAGACACAGGGTAGAAAGGACAGGGTTCTTGAATAAGGCTGAATATGGTAGGACAAAGAGGCTAAGAAATTAGATGCCGAGATAAACAGCACACAGATTTTCTCTTTCATGTGCTTAATTAAGAAATGCCGAATGACTGAGTGCAGCCTTTGTACTGCAAATTAAATGTCCTTCTCTACAAATTAAAAATTATCAGCTTCTACATACGGGCTGCTTTTCCCGATGAAAATTTATCGGAACGCTTAAAAGGAAGTTACATAGCTAGGAAGAGGAAATCCCAGTTAGGAAGTCCTAAATGTAGACAGACCATCTTGAGTAGTACTGTCCATAGTGAATCGGAGGGCGGGGGGGAGAGGAAATGGACAGGAGAAAAAGGAAAGAAATGAAAATAAAAGTAGAAGGATGATAGGAAGGAACAAAAAGATGAGCCCTGTCTGGAAAAAAGGTTTAGAATGGAGCTTTGGCATATGTGGTTGATATCTATCAATGTGTTGTGGCCTACCAGCGGCCGGTGAAGCTGGCAGCAGATTCAGACAGTGAGGAGGTTGGGTAGGAACATGGGCCTGTCCTGGAGTCTGGGGAAGGCTCTGATGAGGGCTCTGCATTGGAGGCAGATATGGGGCCAGGGCCATCTGACAGTTATCAGCTGCCTTGAGAGTCAGAGACCAGTGGGGCAGACGAACAGCTGGAGCCTGTTCCCAGTGTGCCCATGCGCAGAGTTGCCAGACAAAGGGAAAGCTGAGGAACAAGGGTCGACTTCGGAGTAAGGCCACAGGTGAACCATGAATGGCCCCTCCCATAGGGAATAAAAGAGGAGCGAAAGGGGAGGGGTGTTTGCAGGAGACAATTAGTTCAATCCTGCATTCTTGCCAAGTATTGTGGCATCTGAAAGATATCGGCCTGGCCACTCTCCAAGCCTGATAAAGGTCAGTAATTGTGAAGTATCTTGAAAGACTGTGGGAGAGGATTGACTTTGCTGCAGAGGAATTCACTGTATTTTGTCCTGGCAGGCCTAAAGTCCAAAAAGGAAAAGATGGCTTGCAGGCCTGACAAGTGTATTGTGTGACAACTATAGTGATAAATTGAAGAATGAAACTGAAAGAGATATCATTAATGTCGGTGTTCAGGAAAAACATGGTGAAAAGGAAGCCATCGATGTTTGAGAATGTTGAAAAATAGTAAGGGTGCAAAGTGTAGATGATGTGACTAGAGAGATGCTTAAAAGATGGAGTTGTTTATTACAGACTGGCTATGTGATGCTTTTAACATGTGTGAAGATTGCATCTGTGTCTGATTGATGTAATAATGCTGTGACTATTCCCCTGTACAAAGGTAAAGATAACAAGAGGGAATGGCAGAACTACAGGGAGGTTAGTTTGTTATAGGTAGCTCAAAAAGGGCTGGCAAAATTCTAACTGAAAGGGGTATTAAATGTGAAGAAAGTTTGCCCAAATTGGGTTTGTCTAGACTACTGAAAGGGATGCGGTGGCTCAGTGGCTAAGACGCTAGCTTGTCAATTGGAAGGTCGGCAGATCAGTGGTTCAAATCCCTTGCGCCACGTAACGGGATGAGCTCCCGTTACTTGACCCAGCTTCTGCCAACCTAGCAGTTCGAAAGCATGTAAAAATGCAAGTAGAAAAATAGGGACCACCTTTGGTGGGAAGGTAACAGTGCTCCATGCGTCTTTGGCATTTAGTCATGCCGGCCACATGACCACGGAGACATCTTCGGACAGTGTTGGCTCTTCGGCTTTGAAATGGAGATGAGCACCGCCCCCTAGAGCCGGAAACGACCAGTGCACATGTGCGGGGGAACCTTTACCTTTCGACTAGTGAAAAGAAGGACTAGGGGTGACATGATAGCGGTTTTCCAATATTGAAGGGGTTGCCACAAAGAGGAGGGGGTTAACCTATTCTCCATAGCAGTTGGAGGCAGGACAACAAGAAACAATGGATGGAAACTAAAGAAGGAAAGAAGCAACCTAGAACTACAGAGAAATTTCGTAACAGTGCAGCAGTTTGCCTTCAGAAGTTGTGGCTGCTCCATCACTGCACATTTTTTAAGAAGAGATTGAGGTGGTATAAACTAAGACTCATGCTTTGGGCAGTGGGGTTGGACTAGAAGCTCTTCAAGGTCCCTTCCAGCCCTATGATTCTATGAAAGGGGAATAGATGTATTATATGTTATAAGCAATTACAAAAGAACCCAAAACCAAAAAGCAGAAGAGCCTAGAAAAAAACATATAACTCAAGTATTTCTTGGCCACCAGATAATTAGTCATTTAAACAGGAAAGTTACTTTTAAAATTTTTTTCTTATTTATTTAAATGGGAAAGTTGTAGTAATTTTTTAAAAACATTTCAGATTTATGTATTTAAACAGGAAAGTTTAACTTCATAAAACTTTTCTTATTTATTTACTGAGTAAGATTATAAGTACTAGGTCCTTCAAGGGAGAGGGGCTGGGAAAGAGAAAAGGTAGAAAGTGACCAAGAACTTGCAGAGAAAAATTGACTTATTCTTCAGAGATAAGTCACTTACTTTAACATCTTGTTGTCAGGGTTCCAAGTAATACCCCTAATGAAAGAAGACTCCAAGACTTGAGTTTCCTCAAACTTCCATTTTATTATAGATGTCATATTGGCAGATCTGGGAAAACCCAAATCTGAAAGCTTCCAGGTTTCTCCCACCCAAAAGAAAGTCCAAATCCCTGCCCAGCACCCACATGTCCATCACATGGTCCAATCAGGCACCGTCCAAAACTGGAGATGCCTCCTAGTCAAATCATAGCAGCTGCAGGGCAAGGTGTTCTTGACTCTCTGAGAAAGGATGTCATTTAGACTATATATCTCCCATACTCCATATAATCCCCCCTCCCATTTTCCCACAGCATTGAATGTGGCAGGCCTGAAGGCCCATTGCGAAAGATGGCTTCCAGGCCTGATACTTGTTATGATCAATACCTTTTCTCAAAATTATTTTAAATGAGATATGCTTCATGCCACGAGATTGCAACAATTAGAAATGTTGCCTGTTTCATTTTCTGCAACCCAACAAGGCAGACACAGACTTCAGAAGATAATTAGAACTGCAGAAAAAACAATTACTGCCAATCTGCCTTCCATTGAGGACCTGTGTACTGCACCAGTCAAAAAGAGGGCTGTGAAAATATTTACAGAATATTTACCCATCGTATCCTGGACATAGTTTGTTTCAACTCTTACTCTCAAAACAATGATATAGAGCACAGCAAACCAGAACAACTAGACACGAAAACAGTTTTTTCCCCAAACGCCATCACTCTGCTAAACAAATAATTCCCTCAATACTGCCAAACTATTTACGAAGTCTGCACTACTATTAATCCTTCATCATTCCTATCACCCATCTCCTCCCACTTATGACTATATGACTGTAAACTTTGTTACTTGTATTCTTACGATTTATATTGATATTGAATGTTTCCTGATTGCTTATTTATGCCCTATGACTATAATTAAGTGCTGTACCTTATGATTCTTGATGAATGTATCTTGTCTTTTTATGTACACTGAGAGAATATTGCACCAAAGACAAATTCCTTGTGTGTCTAATCACATTTGGCCAATAAAGAATTCAATTCAATTCTATTCAATTCTATTCTATTCTATTCTATTCTATTCTATTCTA